ATAATTCAGTGTTTAAAACATGTTAGTTAATAACATTTTTATGCTCAGCAGCTGTAATAATTAATTGAATATAGTGAATAAAAGTTAAAACATTCTAAAAGCTGATGGTTCTTTACATATTTTGTAGCATTGTTTGGGGGTTTGTGAGGGGGCCCTCGGCCAGAAGCCAATGCTGTTTGGGGGGTCATGGCATGGAAAAGTTTGGGAACCCCTGGTATAGATGAACAAAATATTATACTGCAGATGGGAAAAGATGGTCGACAAAAATCAGTAAAAAAATCTAGTGTAGTAGCTGTCCACATACCGTCCACACTTTCCTGCCCGAGCATCGGAGGCTGAGAGTCTTCAGCTCGGAGACTGTAGGAGTGCGGGGGGCTGACCTGCTGTGAGCTGGAGTTGCTGCTGCTGTTGTCCATTTTTGACTGATAAACATCTGACAGAAAACTCTGGTTGCTGTTTTCATCTGAGAACACAACAGAAACTAGGGCCATGAGGTCACGTTGAACAAGTTTTATTTCCATTGAATACAAACAGCTACTTTCATCATTACTGCCTTAAAAAAAATAAAACTACCAGCAAAATCCAGCAAAGTGTTTGTGTTTTCCAGGACCACATCTTTCAAGCCCCTAGTTTCTCCACTTGTGGATTTGGTGCGAAATATCTAGAGGAAGAGAGGGGATTTTGTTAGGAGGCTGTGGATAAGTAACACAAACGAGCCAGAGTGGAGACTCTGGTGACGACGACCCACACCTGCTTCGTTTCTGTTACGGGCACCCACTTGAAGATGCGTAAGGACGTGTCTCCAACCGTCACCCATTTCTTCTCCCTGGGGATAAAAGTTGAACAACATTAAGGAGATCAGTATATCAGGCTTCCCAGCATTTTATGAAAACAAAATTATCAGATTATTCCCTGAGTAAATCCTGAAGGTCCAAATTTCATCCACACAGAATGCTCATGAGGCCTACAGTACATGCACACAGCAATCGTTCCTAACATTTAATTAGATTATATAACAGAAACTAAGAAGCCACCACAGCCGATCAGTAAGGATTTATACACTGTAGAAGCAGAACATGGATTCATCGATATGGGAATATTAGTATCAATACAAGTACAAGTTAAAATTCATGAAAAACCACGTTTTAGTCAGCAGATGAGTATTCATATTCAGAGTTTTCCCTGTCTGGAATATGTGAAAGTCATTTTCCAGGTTTTGCCTGATTTCCAGAGTTACAGGTAACCCTGTATCCTTCATTTGCTCCAAATACATCAGCATCAAGGTTCGGATTAGAAGGCCGCCTGACCCCACAAACAATATGAGGTATATTCTTGATGTCTTTGTCTATATTGAATTAGTTCCAATTAAAACACTTTTGTTTTCACGTCAGAGCCGGGGTTTTCCCTTTGAAGCATTTCTAACCTAATGTTACGGCATTCTTTAAGGAGGGTGTGGTTTTGAAAGTGTCACACTGCAAGGACAAGAAGAACGCCTGCCAAGCTGAACATAAAAAAAATGTTTTCAAAATGATGATCAGTAGCAACAAATATGTATTTCTTCAGATCAAAACCCTTAATTTGCATTTTAGAGCCTGTGAAGAGCATAAAGGTTTAACAGAAAACGTTTAATGTCGTTCTAAAATGTACTGGCACATGCTAAATTGTAATTAAGGGTACAAGTCTTTTGCATAAAGTTGTCGCAGCAAAATTGTTGCGTTTGTGCTGAGCAGAGTGGCACCAACTATATATATATATATATATATATATATATATATATATATATATATATATATAATATTAGAGTTGTTTTAAAATGACAGCAATCCACTTTGTACTGTATTTTCCAACATATAAGTCACAGTATTTTCCATAGATTTGTCAGTCCTGCAACTTATATACTTTTTTTCTTCATATTCATAATGCAATATTTGACTGACACTTTAAATTGCTAAGAACTGCAACAGCGAGTCCTCCCGTGCACGCTCGCTTCACTCAGCTGGTGCAGGCGGAGGAACGCTGGAGAGCTAGCGGCTCCGGCTGTGATGGATGCATGGATGGATG